AATGCATTCCTATGGGAAATGGTGTTTCGCATAGCTATGGTTTCACATAGCGATGGTTTTTTTTGAACCAATTAACATCGCTATGCGAGGCACCACTGTACTTATATTCTGCCCTGAAACCAATAAAAGGATGCAATATGCTTCTGAACATCAAGGAAATAACTTTAGACAAAGTTCGGTAAAAGTTTTCAGAATATCAACATAAAAAGGGCAATGCAAAAGAACATGAGTTATTATTTCTATTTCTCCATGATTGCAAGGAATAACAGTCTCCTCCTGGACTGCTGATGGCAGGCCATTTAGCCGAGCAAGAGTGAAAGAGTGGTTTTGAATTGAAAGTAAATAAAAATAATTAGATGATTTAAAAGGAAGCAATGCTATATTGATTAGAACATTGTTTGAGAGTGTGCCTAGATTATGTAGCCTCTCAACCTCTGCAATGCATTGTGGAAAGGCTAATTAATCTAGCTGCATCATATTCCATATGGATAAAGCATTCCACAGAGAAGCTGTACTTTCTGAGTTTAGCAAACTGACTGACAATTTCTTCCAAACTGGTAATTGTCTTCCAGTATTACAGGGGCTAATGCCGGGGTGGGTGGGGAGAGTTAGCTTCAACCAAAAACAAAAGATAAATAGCCAAACCCTAGTTTCAACCTCCAATCACAGAGCTGTATTTGAGACTCAACGGAGTACTTGAAGAAAAACTCTCTAAAATCTTGTCTGAACTACTTCCAAGAGAGTGAAAGGAGAATAAGGGGCCAGTTGTGCACCATAAAAGAAGTTGACCTGGCCTGAAACAATTTTAAAGCAGCTGGAATATAATGCTCCCCCAGAGTGGGGAAAAATTAGTATTGCAGAAGCAGATTTCCATGCTATCCTGATCTGTAAGTTTCACACGTGTACACAGAATGCTTTATGAGGATGCTTCCGGTTGGAAAATTCCTGTGTATCAATCAAAATACATTCTGCATCTATCTATCTATCTATCTATCTATCTATCTATCTATCTATCTATCTATCTATCTATCTATCTATCTATCTATCTATCTATCTATCTATCTATCTATCTATCTATCTATCTAATCATTTACTGTTTTCTTTTCAACAGAAAAAACAGAGAGTAATTGAAAAACATGGCAAAAAAGGATATCCAGACTCACTCTGGCCCCAGAAGTATCCCTGATCCAAAAACATAATCTATCTATCTATCTATCTATCTATCTATCTATCTATCTATCTATCTAATTTTCTGTTTTCTGTTTTCTTTTCAACAGAAGAAACAGATAGTAATTGAAAAACATGGCAAAAAGGATATCCAGACTCACTCTGACCCCAGAAGTATCCCTGATCCAAAAACATATACAAATCTATTTCCTCCATGAAAAGAAATGGTAAGATTCAAATTACCCACATAAGATCCCAAAGAATTATATGCAGGTGATGAAGACATTTAACCTCCTTTCTACTAAACCTAATGATATAAAAGGGATCTTCTTCTTCACAAGATCAGTTTCTGTCTTGCAGCATTACACTTGTGATTTACCAAAAACAGAGATCTAGCTCAGCTATGCTAAGCCCCTTTCTGTGGTGGCTCCCTACAGGGGATGAATTATTTTCCTTATTTGGTCAAGTTGATGCATTATCTTTTACAGCGGGAGGGGGATAAAAGACTGTTCATTATGTTGCATTTTTGCCATTGTTCAAATGTCCAATCATTCTGATGCCTGGACAAGAGGTCACTCGTTTATCTACCTGTTTTTCCCCCCATTTCTATCCTTGCCCAATTGCAACTTTAAACTGCAAGGCCAGTTGCTCTCTTGATCACTGGGAACAACACTTGAAAGCACATCAGCATGCAAACACTGGAAATACATAAAACAACTCTGCTCCCTTAAGAGTCTGCTGGTTCACATATGCCCTTCTCCCCTAGGCAATTCCTGGTTTCTTTCTAGACTTGACAAACAATGGTTACTGCAGATCATAGTTTGCCTTCAAACAGCAATGCTGTTCTCTAACTAGCAGGCATAGTTGTGGAGCCAAAAGTATTCCCTCTTCTGTTACTTTTCATCACTGGAAAGCAACAACAGAAGCTGAGGCAACCACCACAGGGCAAATGGACAGTGAACAACTGCCCTGCTTTGAGCACAAACTCTTAGAGCCATAGCCATAAGCAATCATCCTCTGAGCAACGGTGCACTTCCACATTGCTTGCTGCAGCACCAGCCCCTCCTATCTCCGCTGAAGTCCTCAACATGGCTGTCTGCTCTGTCACAGAGTCTGATCAGCAAACAGAATCACCGTAATACCCTGAAAACACCCTGTCTTATCTCACCAGGGAGAGCTAGGGCCATATCCTGCCTGAAACCTTGGAGAACTACTGCTGGTAGTTCTCCAAGATGAACTCAACATGAGACAGTTTTCAATGTTCTTAACGAGAAACAAATCTTAAAGTCATTCAAGCTAGAAAACACGCAAGTGTTTAAGAAGGTTGTGAGCCAACCGGCTGGTGGGATGTGGCGGAATAGTGGTTTAAAGGGGAATCTAAGAGATACTGTCCATTCTCTGGCATTACTTTCTCCAATTAACAAAGCCATTGGGGAGATAGGGCAGGTGGGGAAGAGCCACTCTGGAGGACATGTGCCAAAGGAAAAGATGGATCCAGACCGCCCTGTGCAAAGCCTCTTGAATGCCAACCATAATAAAATATACAGGTAATATATGAAAATAACCTATTTTACCATCTTAAATACTACTACTACTAATAAATAATCTGCAACAGTTGATCAGTCAGTTGACTGGCCTGCTGATACCAGCGTTGCATCAGATCTTCCACCTTCTCTCTTTGTGCTTCCCTCCCTCCTCCTACTCGGAAACCTTTGCTGCCCCTACAACTGCAGATTTTCCACTTTTTGTTTGGCAGCTCCCTCCTGCACCAGTCTTCATGTACAGCAGAATGACTGCATCCAAAAGAGAAAACCCCCAAAACACCTCTGGGTGGGGGACAGGCTGACACCGCAATATCCTCTTTGTAAAGTCTTGGCAAGGAGACCTTGATAATTTACCCTGTATAAATAGGCATGAGTCAGTGTTGACACGGCCCCAAAAGTCTGACACATTAGGTGGATGCTGAATGCTACTTCCACCCAGTGTTAGTAGTGTGTGCATGTGTGTGTTCATGAAGGGGAGGGGGTAGAAAGAGTTTTAAACCCTGCCAAATGCCATTACAGGAAGGCAGCTCAAAGGGAGTGGCAATGAGGAACCACTCAAAGCCAGTGCAGGCAACGGCAAGAATTCATTTTTCTTCTGTCTAGCAGCAAATTGGCCTTCCCAGTGCTTTCAGATGCCTTCTTCTCACATTTAAATGCTATTAATTTTCAATTATCCTTCATCTTAATTCACCTTGAAACACAAGCGTAAATTCTCCAGCTGACTACTGCTGGCACCGTCAATTCTAGGAAAATAATGATTTTGGCTCCTTCCACTTCAGAGCAATAAAATGAAGTTTACACTCATTCGTTTAAAAGATTCTGAAGATTAAAAAAGCCATAAAAACCAACTTCCACCACAGAAGAACATGTTTTCTAATAATACAGAAGAGGTAGGTGGTGTTTTTTTCCTTCACAACCTTACAAGGAAGAGTGAAAATCACCCACACACAAGAGTATTTTGCTTCGGCAAATAGAACATGTCTTTTGTCCTTTCCAAAGAAAACTGGATTGGTTGGAAATATAAACTAATAAAATCCTATCCTTTAAAAAAATGACTGTGACTTGTACAATTTTAATGGTACAGCCTAGGGAACATGGAGGGGAAGACCACTTCAGCCCCTATGTGGAGAAAGATCAGACACAGACAAATAGACACTGCCATTCACCTAGAGTTCCTGCTCCTAGTTTGCTCCGTTTCATTTTAAATTAGTTTTTAAATTGTGTTTTCATTTATGCAAGCCACCTTTGGTCCTTTTTCAGGAGAAAGATGGGGTGAATATATTTTAAATAAATGAAAAAAAAAATCTTTCTTCTGCATTGGAAGTACCATACTTCTCTTTCTGAATCTTTTTCAAGGAAAAAAAAAGGCATTTGTGAGCTCATTGGAGCTAACAGGAAAACTGAACTGGGAAAAAAAATCATTCTGCAAAAGACCAGCATGGACATGTTTCAGAATATATGTTCGTGAAATACAATCTGAAAAAGAAATAACAGCACAAATGGCTTAGCATTATCACCGACAACAGAAAAGCATTCTCTGGGACTACTTACTCTCCTCCCTGCCTCGTTGTTATGGATGTTCATCAGGATCCGAGCACTCTCATAAGTTCCTTTCTGATATATTCTCTCGCGCTCACGGGCATCCACAAACTCCTTGGCGAAGCGGTAGCCATAATCAATGTTGTCCCCACAGCCACCCCACAGCCAGTCCCGAGGTAGGTCTTTTGGCCTGGAAGCACGGCTACAGCCACAGGAAGAAAGCTCCCCCTCTCGGCAGGCACGGCTCATGGCATTCACTACCCCAGCTGCGCTGACAGCATATGTGAAGGCGGTCTCTCGGCTCCCTGCAGGGAAGAAAGAGGGGAAAGCAGCTTAGCATAACAGGGCAGGATCTGTTCATCTGTTACTTGGCATAGAAGAAGATATATTGCCCGCCATCGCCACCACTGCCAATGATTAATGGATCTTCAGAAAAGTAAACTGTAAAACATGAACTTAGTACAACATTTCACCAAACTTCTTGCCATTAGATAAAGCTCAAGGCTAGGAAAACTCCTTTCGCCTTGTACCCCCAGTTTGGAAAGGAGCTGCTTAAGAAGAAATTCACTGTCAGGACGTCTTTAGTAACCTGATTAATCTTACAAGACTGGCTCATTAACAAGTTTCTGATTTGTCTTCAGCTCTACCCATTGACAGGAAAAATAACTGAAGACTTCTTTAGAGAAAGATTCCTCTATACAATATTGTAGCTTAAAATTCAAAAGAGTTGTTTAAGAGAAACCCTTTAAGGACAGGCAAAACAGTGTAACAGACCAGATGGATTACTTACTGGATATCCTGAAGGAAAATTCATAAGTTATAGTATTACCATGATCCAATTTGCCCCAAAATAATTCCGCTGTACAAATCTCCTGCTAAGGAGGTTCTCACACAAGGGGAGGAGGAACCACACACAAACACACTTTATTTTGAACCCTGACAGATTTGTGGCATAATTGTTCCGGTTTTCACACACAACCACACACTAACAGCTATGAACAAGGGACTCAAATTAAAGCTATTCAGACTTTACTAAAGTTTCTAGAAACCAGATGCTTTAAAATATAAGCAGGTTCGAGAGCTTTGTTACATCCCAAGAAGAACTACTTATCCAAGACCCAAATCCAGGTTCTCTCAAACTAGCCCACGGTATTGTGCTTCAATCTATATTCCTTTTTTCTTCTTCTTTGGACTTGTTGAAGTGGTGATACAAGTACCACTTTCTGCTGGCCTTTAAGCCATTACCAGAAGGATGTAGCATTTTGAGGACACAGGAAGGAGAGTATGAAGCTCTCTTCCACCACTAGCCCCAGCTGTGTACATCTCAGTCTGTATTCAATCCACTTAAGTCTCCAACTGGCATCTTCAGATGTCTATGGATAGTCTTACCCTCTTTAGGATGGACTAATCAATATCAGCAAAACTTTACTCGGATAACTGTAGCAATTTATCCTGTCACTGTGAGATAAGTCACAAGACACTTCTTTTGAAAACATATCAAACAATGAAGTTTCAGACGGAAGCACACCACAGCTTTAAAGAGAATTATTCTGCAAGACTTCCTAGGCTTATACAGACACCTTATACAGTGGACCCTCTACTTAAGGAATTAATCCGTCTTGGAATGGTGGCTGCAAGTCGAAAAGCCTGTAAGTCGAATCTCCATTGACCTACAATGCACTGAAAACGGATTAATCCCATAACCAGTGGTTTTTATTCTATTTTTATTCCATTTTGGTTTTTTTCTGGTCTGTAAGTTGATTCTCTGGCTGCAAGTCGAATCTAAATTTTGCAGCCAGAGAAGTCTGTAACTCGAAAAGTCTGTAAGTCGAGCCGTCTGTAAGTCGAGGGTCCACTGTACTCTACCAGCCTGTGAGAGATCCTAAGAAAGCAATCCTGTACCTTGGGAGTCAGTTATATTGAATTCAGTCAGTTATATTGAATTTACAAGCACACAAGGAAAGCCAACAGCTTTCTGCCAGTGATAAACGTATCTGAAAATTATTCTTGGTCATCTCTCAAATTTCATTCAGCTCTAATAGGCATGGGGAAGCACTGGAAAAAACACATAATTCTTACACTGGTATCATTTTCTGTGAGGCTCGTAGGGGAGTTGTCTCTCTCTAATCCACTTTTACATACCAAAAGCTAACACATATATGTTACTATCATTTGGAAGAACATTAAATTCACATTCTTCTGCAAAACACCTTTCCAACTTTCAAAAGCAGACAGGGGAAAAAATTATAAAGATGAGTATCTTTCTAAACCAAACAACAAATGAAAGAAAGATATTCTCAAGAGAGGAGGAAGAATGGTTTGAAAAGTCTTCCTAGAAACTTCTTTCTAAACTGTGGCTCCGGGACATAAAAGCGTATTTTAAAAGAACATTGCAGAACAAGACATTATAATTCTGTCGACATGGTTTTGGTTTCTTTAAAAGGTCTCCAGCCAGTGTTAGACATAAATAAGATTTCTCTCTACACAGCATCTTTTTCCAGTTGGGTACCATGCTGGCAACAGATGGGGGGAAATCTATTGACCCACATGTCTGGAGAGCACCCAGTTGGATGTTTCACCATCCAAGTGTCTTCTCTTTATTCTGCCTTTAAAAGGAAAAAAAAAGACTCATTTACAAAAAAAAACCCAAAAAACACTTTGGGACAAATAAAAAGATTCTGTTATACTTCTCAGAAGGTCCTTAGAGTTTTAATCCCTACCCCCTTGGTTTGGCTGTTTAAATGCCACTGGCTAGGGGGATACAAGTGGCTCTGGGGTACAAGCTGCAAAATTTTACATAGATCTACTCTTCCAACGCACAGCAGAAAATCCAGGGCATTAGACTTTGCGTCATCCTTCAAAGGTCCAGCTATGAACAACTTTTTTTAAAAAATTACTCATTGGCTTGTTGCAGTTCCCTATTTTCTCTCTTTCTTTCTCACTCTCTGGGGAAAAGGCACACACTTCCATAAGATTATGCAACTAACTTTCCAAAATCATTCAGAAGCAAGAAAGGAGCTTGTTTAAATTTTTTGAGCCAGCAACTCCAATTTACATTTCAAGGAGCTCAATGCCAAAGTCTGAACTGCAGGATCAACCCCTGGAAGCAGATGCAGAAAAAGATCCAGTTCTTAATGAAATATCATGTTTTGGTACTATTGTGATGCCTTGTTTGCCATTCCAGGAGCAAAAAGTGTCATTTGCAATTACTGAAAGTAATTTTCTTCCTAACTTTAATTTAGACCAACAATGACCCGAATTATTCCATAAATCTCCAAGACGTTCGCCTGCTGCAGCAAACTTGTGATCACCTTATAATTCTTCCAGCACATAACTCTTAGAGAAACCCACAGGTCTAAAGGCTACACTGCCTAGAGATTTATAGCACTGAAAGGCTGAAGGATATTATGAAGGTTCAGGATCTGGCTCCTGTTTTTCTCCAAATAAATTAACAGACTTACAACGTTTAGAAATGAGAGTTACATTTATTGCTGTGTCCACCAAGAAACTGGTGTCTGCAAAGGCATTCCAACTTTTATCTCCTTCCAACAACTGGTCAGGAAGGGGTTTCCAAGCTTCTTCTTTAAAGGGGTTCCCTCCCAAAAGAGTTCCAAGGTCCAGTCCATAGTCAAATCTGTACTCAATAACTGCCTGAGTTCTCCCTCCAGTAAGGCTACGGTGTCCTCGTCTCGGGGATCCACCCAGGTGGGGTCCCTGGAGGCCTGGAAGGTCTGCCATGGTCCCGTGGGTATCCCCTCATCTGGGTCTCTCTCGCCCTCCATTCTATTCTTTACCCTCTTTCTCTTTCAACCCTTTCTTTCTCTTCTCTCAATTTCCTCCTCCGCTCCTTTGCCTCTGTTTCACCGCCAATAAGATGATCTTGGGGTTACCTCCCTCCTTCTCCTATAGTCTGCTTCCTCCATTGGTATATGGAGCTTCTCCCATTCTCCAGTCCATGGGTCCTTCATCCAAATCCACTCACAACCTGGAGGCAACTCTCTTTCTCCCCTTTTTATATCGGCCATCTACCTCTACCCGCCTCTACCTCTACCCAGGACTTCTGCTCTTTTTGCCGTTTCTCTCCCAGTTTCTTTAACCAAGTTTTGTACACCTTTCTCCACACTCTCTTGGTCTGTTTCCAGTAGCTCTACCTTTCAGGGAAGGGAAACTGGCGGGGTCTGCACCTCTTTTTCTATAGTGAGAGGACGGGACGTCACCCCAGCGAGAATGGCTTGGTTCTAGCCCTCATTTTTACAGATATTCACTTCAAATTCTTGAGCAAGGATTCAGCTCAGAAGCTGAGATCTTCCTGAGAAGCAACAACCAAACACATTGCTTATTTAAGGAAGCTAAGCTCAACTATACAACAACAACATATACTAGTTCTCAATGAATACTCCTTTCAGAGTCTTTAAGAGCTGGATGGGAGCATTACACTCATTTCTACTTGTAGTTAATATAAGTGGCCAATTATCTAGCTTCAATCAAATCAAATAAACCCAGGTGTGCTAATGAGGGGGAAAAGATGCCTGAAACCAATGGGGACCCATTCCAACACTTACAGTTCCCCACTTTGCATAAAGAGTTCATGACAGCTTAAGAAACCAGAGAACCAGTATGCCTTGGATGAGCATAACCATGCTAGCATCATCTGAAACTGATGTATAAAGTATCAGCGATTTCAGCCCTTTGCTGTTCTATTTTTGCTTGCTTTTTCAAAAAACAAAGTGACAATCTAACCAACTATGCAAAGCTTTCCAGTTCTACAAAACCTGTAATGCATGACTACAGGGGAATCCTGAAGCTGTCGAAAAGCAAGTGTTTCCACTTAGTGAATTTCTTCAAAGTAATGGAAAAATGTTCAATTTGAGACTTTTGTAAAGCTTATTTTTACATAAAATCAACTTCTACAATAAATATGACTTAACAGCATCCCTTCAAGCAATGCAGAAAACCTCCTAATTCATAAATGAAGTTACCTTTAATCTAATTTTAGTGTCATTCCAATCCTTTCCTATCCCGTTTCAAAAAGAGTGGTTTAAAATTAGATTTAGATCTCAGCATATTAAATTGCTACTATATGCAAGGTACAAGTTACATGGGGTGGAGGATAAGAATAGATTTAGATGTACAGATGTCATTATAATAACTGGGAGAAAACAGCAACCCATCAATCATTACAGTGATGCTGCCTTTAGGCCCAATCCTGCACATGGGGGATTTCAGAGATCAATCTTTTTACATTTTAAGTAGATGCAGAATTTGTGCTGATGTGAGCTGTGAAGCAAAAAAGAAACTGTTCAAAGAGCAACTGACAGAAAATACAACCTCAGCTCATAGAGACCAGTAGATTGCTACGAGGCACCATTTTTAATTAACAAAAACAGTTAATCACATGCAATGCCCATATATGCACTCATCAAAAGTATATTCACTTCAAATGAATGTCACACACCTTAAATTTAAATCTCTTTTCATATGATCTCCAAAAAGCTTTAGGTTGTAATCATACACATTGTTGAAAGTAAATTCCACGAATCCAGTGGGATTGACATCAGAGTTAACACGCACAGGACTGGACCCCAAGGCAGAAAGGTTTGCATATGAAATAGTAACACTATTATTTGTAGTAATAGTAGTAATCATCATCATCATCATCCAGAAAGTTATCATATATGCTTCACACACGCAAACAATCACTACTGTTACACAACTTTGGAATCCCATGGATAAAAATGGCAGTTCCAAAGCCAAACACCTCTACAATACTTTCCCCCCTTAAATTTAGATACAGTTTTGTTTCAAACCACATTGAAACAAGAGGCATCTGACAATATTTCTCTCCTGTTTCCACAGCTCCAGCACTCTCCTCTGAAGTGTTGCTGCGGCAGTGCCAGCTACTTTCATGGAAGAGGCAGTTTCTGGCTAATGGCAGCTTAACTTTTTGACAGGTTTCAGTGGCACACAGAAGAACCTGGCAAGGTTTTCCTAGCGCACAGCCTTCCATAAATATTGCACACGCACTCTCAGGCATTTCTTCCTACCTATCTGCATGACTCTGCCAAAAACAGAGTTATTATCCACCGTGCTACAATTCCATCTTCTATGGCGGAACTGGTACTGGCATTCCTTGATTCCTGTCTTTGCTCCCTCGCCAATGTACTGCATGTGGTCCTGGTACAAGTGACAGAGTTTCTTTTGTCCTTGAGAGAGCCCGGCCAACTGGCTGCACAATGGCTGGGCTCCAATGATGTATACTTCTGGCATCTGAACAGGGTTCATAGGATTCATGTGGTTCATACCCAGAGACCTGGGAAAAGAGAAAAACTGCATTAACAAAGCATAGGTTCAGATACAGCAGCAAACTCTTCACGGAGCACGCCGAGAGGGAATTCAGCCCTAGAACAAATTTACTTGACAGCAAGGCTTCCTGATATGCTGGAAGCAGTGGCAAAAAAAAGTGGGTGGATGGAGCAAAAGAAAGATAGAAAGAACTCTACTTTAATAATTCATAAGTTGAAGCAAACTATATGTAAGAAGTTATTATCGCGTCAGCCATAAAATTATAGAGCTATCTAAATATAATGTTTCCCCCTTCCAGGATGATTCCTTCCCAAAATTCAAACTTCACAGATATTTTTGTTTTCAGAATCTGAAGGGGACAGATCCTCCCCAAACCCCTTTTTTAGCTGATTGAAGAGAAAATGCATATTGCTCTCTAACACACTACAAAAATCTTTAAAAGAGTATAATTATAGACAGCTAAAGAATTACCACTCCCAGAAAATTAATTCTGACGATCAGTGAAATATGTTAACATGGGTTTTGTTTGACCAAATCAATTTATCGCTGGACATGGCTAAAAATGACACAATCATTTGGAAAATACAAAAGCAAAGGGAACCCGGCCACTAAACACTTTGCTCACCTGTGCTTTATAACAGAGGTGACTGTTTCTTAAACAACAATAGTTTGCAGCAAGAGAATTGTGTACACATTTGCTGGGGAGGTAAATCCCATTGTTTAATGGGACTTATTCTCAATCTGAGTGTACTTATTTGATTCTGGAAGTGGAAGCGAAAACTAACTTTTAAATTCCTAAGCTGACCTACATATCTCTGTTTATAATACAATGTGGATGATCCCATTACAAGTGTGTACATTGTTGAATTCCAACCGTACTAAATCCCTGTTTAGTCCAAGCTAAGATCAAAGTGACTACATAAATGCAGAAGGGTTGATATTGCCCTGTCTCCCCTCCAAAGCAAAAAAAAGCACTGCGGGTCCCTTGTGGTATCATAGTGCCATTTGCACTGTTGAAGGGCATTGTGGAGCAGGAAAACAGCACCCACCAGGAGGTCCCATCTACAAGGTTTCTGCCCCTTGGAAGTAGTGTGGGCCTCCTTCATCTTAAAACAGGATTAATCTGTTTCTTTAAAACAAAATTAGAAAATTGGTAAACAAGATTTTAAGAAAAATAGATATATATATATTAGATTTTAAAGCTCACCACCAAGAGCTGGCTTCTATCACCACGTGGCTGAGGGCAGAGAAGAGGGCCAGACCCAGGAAGAGGTACTTGGACGTCATTGCTCCTGTCCACCAAGCACCCGCTTGGACTAAGGTTCCCAGGGGCTTCTGGAAGGGAAGGGAAGAGGAGGCAGAGAGAGAGGGAGAGAGAGGGAGAGAGAGAGAAATGCTGCTTAAGACCATCTGCAAAGGGAAGGAAGAATCCAGCACAACCCCTCAGGGTTCTTCAGGAGGTGGAGGCAGAGGTTCTCCCCCACCAACCCCTGGTGCCACCACCAAGCCCACCTCTGCTGCCCCTCTCAGGGGATCTCCACACACACACACAGAGAAAGACACATTTCCTCCTCCTCCTCCTCTTCCCCACAGGAGAGAAAACAGACCGTCTCCCGCACCTTCCGATCAGCCGTCGGGCAAGCAACCAGTGGGGCCGCCCCCAGATGCTGCTCCGGCGGTGGGCGCGCTCCAGGCGGGCGAGGGGCA